TTCCGCGTTATTGAAAGAGATTTTTACCTCTTGTGGATGTCAATTTATTGTGTTAAATAAAATAAAAACGAGGATTTATTCTCTTTCTGTTTATTGTACTCTGGTATTTTTTGGTAATCGAAACTGTCTATTTTTTAAGCGGCAATTTAAACTCTCCAAAAACTCAATTGAATCAGAATGATTAGTCTGCATATTGAATGACAATTAGATGTTACAATTTATAATTTAGTTAATTTTTATACAAACAAATTTTTAAGATGACCGAAAAGAGAATGTAGCTAAGCATTCTACATTTTTTAAAAATAGCGAAAAAATAGAGAAAATAAATGGAAAATTAAAATAATGAGATTATTTAAATCAGTATTAATCTAGTGCTAAAAAAATAATAATAAACAAAACACTTGTAAAATGTAGGTCTCTAGAAGCCAGAGTCAATGAGTCATTGACGCATCTTTGGTGCTTGACCAAAAAAAAAAACATATCTTTGGTGAGGCCAATGCAATAGCACGTGCGGGGAGCTAAGTTAAAAAGGGGCACGGAATTCCTGAATGTCAGCCCTGGTCTTGTTTGTAGGCTCCAATTTTTTTTTGGTTTATTGATGTGGTTTGGGCATCGCCCTTGGGATTTAATTGGTAGGGCAGCTATAAAGCTTGTTACTCACCGACTTTCAATTTCATGTCATTCAATTGGTTGATTAGCTTAAATTCCTTGATTCATAAAGACATGAAAAGAGCTTAGGAAGTATGAGATTATTGATTTCATACTTCCTACTCAAATGCTAGTTGCGTATCAATTATTTGTATTTAAGTTTTCGCAAATTGTTTTGCCCATTTTAGAAAAATCAGCGTTTTATGAGCAGTGGCAGAGCCACTTCTACGTCTGGAGTGGTCGTGACTCCCTTAGATTTTGATATCTCATTTATTATATCATATATAGCAGTAACAGACATAATTTGTAATAGACAACTTATAATTTAAGTTAAAATTTCCTTTAAAACAAATTAAACATGATTAAATTAGAAACATTTAGCTTTAAACATGTCATTATTGAATACTTAGGTGTTTTATATACTTGTATTTTCTAATTCCCCACCCTCAACTTTACAAGTCTAGCTCCGCCCATATGTATAACATTTATCGTCGGATCATTGACCAACGCATTGCTTTTTTTGGTAAATACCACGAGGTGTCCCCACACCTGAAGGGTGTGATTAATCTCTGCTCGGGGTTCGGCTTGCCCATGGCCACAAAATTCTTCCAATGGGTTTCGAACCCCTGCCATTGAGGCACTCGATTGCTCGCCAGCTGAAAGTGGCAGTTTGCCAACCGCACCACACCTTGTGGTTACCAACATATAGCTTTTAACCAATTCATTACTTGCTGGTTTGCTAAGCTTCTGTTGATGCGAAAAAGTGGTTCAGGACTCTTAAGCTCAACTTAGTAATTTTTGGGTCTTCGGAATTCTTTGGGCCTCGGTAGAGCGTGCGATATGCAAAAGAGGGAACGCTCGGTAACCCCTAGGGTACCGATGTGGTACCTGCCGAAGGCTCTCCGATGCTTAAGTAAGTTCAGATATAGTAAATAGTACTGACTAATCAATAAGCTTGTATGCCATTAATTCTGATTACCTCTATTTTGGGGTTGTTGGCCTCCTTTATAGGCCTTGGGAGGTATGCACTTTGTTGATAATTTCGATGTGGGACTGTGGACGTCGATTATGAGCGTGCCACGTGTCCAGAAGGAGGGCGTTGCCCTAATGGAGCGATCGGTAGACTGGGTGCCGAAGGCTTCCCTGCTCAGGCTCGATTTCTTCCACGTGTCTTGTCCTTATTGCCTGCCTATTCTGGGTATAAATAGCTTCATACCTAAGTTTGTATTAACCGAAATGAGAGATATTCCTATTCTGGTTTTAAAATAGATGAATATTTGAAGTATCATTTAAAACAAGTTGATTGTTGTTGTTGTAGTGATTAAGACTCATAGTTCTGTTATCACAAGTATATAGTTGGAGTCAGTTAGAAGGAGAAGGACACATGGAGGGATGCTTTGTGTTTTTTTTTCTTTGGGTAGAGTAAGTTGGGAGAACAACTCTCTAGTCTAACTTAAAAAAGAAAAAGAAGAAAAAAAAAATATTGAAGTTCAAGGAAGAATAATTGGACGGTCTTTTCCTTTACCAAAAGAAGAAAGAAAAGAAAAGAAAAGAAAAGGAAGAATAATTCCTTTCTTCCTCCTAATTGTCATCTTCTATCATATCTTGTATTAAAAATAATAATAATAATGATATTTGTTTCCTCCTAATAATATATTAATTCCAATTAATTAGTGGGTCCAACTTTGTAAGGCTTTGATTGAAACTTTGCACCATCTCAGGTTTTATATAGATTATATTCATCATCCCATTATTTTCCGTACAAAGGTTTGGTTATAATGATTAGCCCCCATAATTATCATCATCTTGCTGAGTCAAGACTCAAGTTAAACCCCAAAATATGCTCAGTAAAACCTCCATTTAAAAAAAAAATAGTTTTTTAATCCAATTTTTACCCCTTACCAAACAACTGAAAATAAAAAATAAAAAGTACAACAGGAAAGGTCTTAGAGCCCAAAACTAGGGGTGGGCATAAAACCCGTTGAATCGAAAAAGAAAATGACCGAACTGAATATTATTTAATTTAAATTGGACACGTGTCATTCTTTTGTTGGCCAAAATAAGGATATACAGAGGGCTTGCTTGCACTAGATCAAAACCACAAACTAATCCTCACGCCACCTCACTTTCTCTCATTCACAAATCTCCGCAAATCGTCCCTCCCTAATCCTAGATCCTAAATCCTGAAGAGAGTTGATTGTCCCTAACCCCAAATCTGCGGCCAATCTCTCAGGCCACCACTCTCCACCACCATTTCTCACTCTCTTCTCCTCTCTAAGTCATCAAAGTAAAGAGAGTCGATCCCCTCTAGGTCACTCTGCAAGAAAGTGATAATGTGATTCTAACACATGAAGTGGATAGGTACTTGTTGAATCCACTTGAAACAATTCATGTAAGTTTGATATACTAGGGTGGTGGAAAATAAATGGCTCAAATATCCTGATTTGGCATTAATTGCAAAGGATGTGCTTGCAATCCCTATACACACATTAGCTTCGGAATCATGTTTTAGTATAGGTGGGAGAGTGATTGACTCCTTTCAAAGCATATTGTCTCCTAGGATGGTTGAAGCTTTGATTTGCTCTCAAATTGGCTAAGGTCATAAGATATATCTTCATTACAATATGTGCTAACCATTGAGGAAACAAAGTTCTATGAATCAATTGAATGGGGTAACATTTTCATTTTTATGTCAACATTTGTTAATTATATTTGAATATGATTTTTTCCTATTTTAATGTGTCTTAACTCAAATTGTTTGATACATATTGAACAACTGATATTGGGCTCAAGCTCAAACCGACCAAACCTGCAAAATATAAATCAGAAAGTGAGTCAATCACCACCAAGGTTTTATAGAGGGTGTTCAAGAGGAGTTCTTTCTTGCCATTGGGATGCGATTAGATTTCATTTCACCTAGGCTCCAAATACTCTTAATTTGATAAACTCTATGTTCAATACAGAGGAGAAAGGGACAATATGACTAATGCAGATAAAAATATGATTTTGCTCATGAGAAAGAATAAGAAAATATTGTTTTGGCCCTAACTTTAATAGAAAATATAATGTCAGATCAATTACGGAAGTGGAGTTAAGGGGACTAAAACAACTATTTTTTGAATTTAAGGGCCAAAATGCAAATAAGGCATTAGTTCAGGAACTAGAACTCCTAACGCTTGTAAAAAAAGGAGTATACTCGGTTTGTGTCATTTTTAACAAAACCTAACAAATCAAAACATTGTCCGAATTAGTTGAAAAAGTCACTTATTTATACTAAATTGAACCAAATTGGCCCAAATCAACTTGTTTCGCCCGATTTAGTCGGCTCGTTTGGTCCAATCTTTATCGCCATTAATCAAAGAAAAAAGTTAAAAGGAAATCTGAAATCACCGTGGGTGTGAGTGTCTTAGGACTGCTATTTGGTTAGAAAACACATCTCGAACCAAATGATTCCTGACCAAAACCCCTTTTTTTTTTTTTTATATATAAAATTTTAAATTTTAAATTTAAGTTTTATTTTAATCGATATTGAAAAATACACACGTGATTTAAGGAAAAAAAGTAATTTGGTTTGGTGAGCTTCAAGAGCAAGAGCGATTTGAACCGAATGGCAGGCCTAGCGTGTGCACAGATGTTGATAACAGATAGATTACTAATACTATGTAGACTTGTACTGAACTCCACCTCCTGCTTTAAACCATTTTTAAATGTTGGGCAGATTAGTTTGGATTGGAGAAGGATTTCAGTTTAAAGAGAACGAAGACAGAAGAAACCAACATATTATTTTAGTGCTCTACATCAAAATTCCATTCTCTTCTTTAAAGGAAGGACAAAAGGTCTTCAACTAGCCATTGCCACTCATAGAAGCTAAAACCTGCAATTTGGCATTAGTAAATTGGTAATGCTAGCAGCTATAATATAGTAAGAAACACTTGTGTGGGACGGGAATAGCATTGTTTTGCTATCTCGACCAATTATGGTATGCCGAGTGGAAAAGTTATTAGGCGTGGCAACCGTGATTGGCCGGAGATAGCTATTCCCGTTCCACAAGTTTTTTCTGCTAATCCATATGCAAGTATTGCATAATGAATAATGCATCATTACATGTCTCTCTGATTCCATATATTAGGGCCCTGATAGACTTTCTCCTTTTCACAGTCAAATTCCAGCATATAGCTACTATTGCAATTGCTCAAAACACATACCAGAAATCAATTGGTCCTTGTTTATCAAAAAGAAAAAAACACCCCATGATTTCAAACATGTATAGTCTGCAAAATTGCTAAATTGGGGAAGGATAAAGATAACACAAGAAATAAGAGTCAGATCCCACAGTAAAATCAAAAGAAGTAATGTTACAAAGCCCTACAACAACATGGGGGGTTCAGAGCTTTACCCTTTCTATTCTTGAGAAGAAAAACAGAAATACCAAACAATGTCTTAGGGGAGAGAGGAGAAAACTTTACCAAATCCAAAACCCCATCCTTCAAATCTACACACCCATTTCAACCCCCTTAGAAGTAGCAAAAATCCCAACAACCAAATCATTCGATCACCTCAGCACTCCTCCTAAAAAGCGCAAAATACCCCAAAACAGCACAAGCAGCAGCCACCAAATTGCCTTCCTTCAACAAAATCTTGATCACAATCACAAAAATCTCTCTTGTAATCTTCCTCCCCTCCAACCTTCTGCCTCATCATATGGGTGGCCTGCCCTTTATGCCTCGGTGCTTCTTGGGGCAGTTTTTGGGCTGCTTTCCATGTTTGCAGCTCTTGCAGTCATGTTGCCTGCGACCTTGGTCACATGGATCACTATTGTGGTCATGCTGGCCTTCTTTGGAAAGCCTAGGAGGACTTTGGTTGTGGAGGGGAGGAAGATTACAAGAGAGATTTTTGTGATTGTGATCAAGATTTTGTTGAAGGAAGGCAATTTGGTGGCTGCTGCTTGTGCTGTTTTGGGGTATTTTGCGCTTTTTAGGAGGAGTGCTGAGGTGATCGAATGATTTGGTCACCCTCTGTTAATAAAGACCATTAAAAATTCTGTTAATTGCTGATGTGGCAAAAGTGAATCCCATTTTTTAGGCTTACGTAACATTCAAGTAGTCTAAAAATTAATTAAAAACTTCTTTATTTTTTTAAATTAATTAAAAAGTTTAAAATCGAACCCCTCATTCCCAACCTCGCCTAAGACCCACCTTCCCCACTCCCTCCACTGTCACCCAAACCCAGCCACCCCCCATCTCATCTCCACTGTGACCCAAACTCAACCACCCCCACCGCTCTCCTTTGCTTACACCACCATCACCTCCTTCCTCTCTTTAGCTCTGTCTCTGCCTCCATTTCTCTTTGTCTCTCTCTCCCTCCCCACACCAAACCTTATCAAGACACCCAAAACCCGATTACGTGGCTTCAACTGTGCCTTCCAAGTCTCTTGTCCACCAAACCCATATGAGGAAGAGGTGATACGGTACAATATCTGATTTTTAAGATACTACTAGCCTCTTTGGGAGAATTTGGAGAAGAAATCACGGGTTTATACAACTCTACGGTGGAGTTCGAAATTGGGGGAATCTAGAGTAGAAGATTAGGGTTTATGAATCTCTAAGTGGAGTTTGGATTTGGGAAAAGGGAAAGAGGGGCGTTGGACTTTAAGGCTAGAAAGTGCAAAGATGGTGGTGCGTAGAGAATCTGGAGGTTGTCAACCCATATGTAAGTGGACCTATTCTCACTCGTTTTTCTTGTTGTTGGCATGTGCATTGAACTGTTGTTAGAGTTTTTTTTTTGTTTTTTTTGTATACTTTTTTACTCTGTGCTGGTCCTTGTGTGGTACTTGTTTTGTCTTTGTTATGTTTGTCGGTTTGTTAAGTGAATCTTCCTCTTACACAGATAAAGATGCTAACGAGGTTGTTACATTTAAGTTTTTCCATGGAGGTAAACTAGTTAAAAATAGAAGGGACAATGAATGGTCTTATTTGGGTGGTGAAGTCAGTTGGTTTGATTATTGTGAGGTTGACTATATGTCCACGTTAGAGCTATTTGGAAGGGCTAAAGATTTGGGATATGACGATGGGTATGATGTGAGTTTTTATGGTGAAGAGTTTGGAATTGGTATACTCATTCAAATAGTATCAGATAGTACGCTTTTAGCTTGTATGAGCACGGTATCTAAAAACAATAGCAGGGTGATAGTTTTGTACTTGAAAGCAGTGAGCCTGACTTCAAGCCAAGTGGGGAATGATAGCAGTTATCCAGAATATTCTTGTTTTGAGGATGATGATAGCAGTGATCCAGACTTTGAAGACAGTGACTATGCACAGAGTGATGAAGAAATTGACTTATTGAAGAAGGATGATAAGTGGTTTGAAGGTTATGTGGATCATAGTTGTACTGACAATGATCCTAATGCAGAGGAAAATGATGAGTCAGCCAGTGGAGAAGAGTCACCTACACTTACCTGCCTAAGTAGCTCTTCAAGTGAAGATGAAGCACTAGGTGAACTAAGAAGGAGGAAGAATAGAATGCCAAAAGGTGAAGATTTCAGACTTGAAATTGATATGGCAAACCCAGGTTTCAAAGTGGGTTTAGAGTTTGCAACTGTTGAGATGTTTAGAAAAGCTGTGAGGATATACTCCATTGATTGTGGAAGGGAGTTGATATTTATGAATAATGACCGTAACAAAATAAGAGTAATATATTAAGAAGGCTATCCTTTTGTTATCCATGCTTCAAGTGTTAGTGGTAGCACTTACTTGCAGGTGAAAACCTTTAATCCTACACATGTTTGTAGTAAGAGGAGTAAAAATATACTTGCCACTATTAGCTGGTTGGCTAAAAGATATTCTGGGCAGTTAAGGCTCAATCCAAATTGGACTGCTTAGCAAGTTCACCAAGACTATGGTTACAAACCATCTAGAGCAAGAGCCATGGCAGTTGACATTGTAGAGGGGTCTTACAGTAAACAATATGAAGTGTTGTGGGATTATTGTAATGAGTTAAGAACGAGAAATGTGGGAAGTACAGTTATCATTAAATTTGAAATGGAAGGTGATAGGCCACGATTTCAGAGGATTTACATCTGTCTTGCATCCTACAAGAGGGGTTTTTAGATGGTTGTAGGCCTGTGGTTTGCTTGGATGGGTGTCATGCTAAAGGGCCTCACCTTTGGGCAAGTGCTTTCTGCAATGGGAGTTGATGCAAACAACGGAATGTTTCCACTTGCCTATGCATATGTAGAGATTGAGAGTAATTCAACGTGGCTGTGGTTTTTAGAATTATTGAGTGGTGATCTGAATATTAGGAATAGCCATGGTTATGTATTTATGATTGAAAGCAAAAAGGTTTAATAGGTGCTGTGGATGCTCTATTCCCTCATGTAGAGCACAGACATTATTTGAAAGATCTGTATGGAAACTTGTATTTGGAGCATAGAGGTCTTACTTTGAAACATCAAATGGAAGCAATTGCTAGGGCCACAACAGTGCCATGGTTTGATGCAAAGATGAGAAAGATGTTGGAGTTGTCTAAACCCGCACATGATTGGCCTGCAGAGAAATATCCTAGCCATTGGAGTAAGGCATATTTCAAGAGTGATTCCAAGTGTGACATGCTTATGAACAACCTATGTGAGGCATTCAACCGTAGCATAATGGATGCCAGAGACAAGCCTATTTTGACTATGCTAGAAAGAATTCGGTTGTATATAATGTTGTTGATGGCTGAAGAAAGGTTTTGTGTGAGAAATGGCATGGACAAGTTGGGCCAAGAATTAGAAAGATATTAGAGAAAAACAAAGGAAAAGCTCAGTGGTGCATTCCTAAGGCTGCTGGACAAAATAGGTTTGAAGTAATGCACCATAGTGGCTGCAACTTTGCTGTTGATTTGAATGCCCACTCTTGTTCATGCCATGCCTGGGATTTGAATGGAATACCATGTTTGCATTCTTGTGCTGCAATAAGCTGGTTTCATGGGAATCCAGAGGACTTTTGTGATGCAATGTACAAGAAAGAGGCTTTTTGAGAGCCTATGAACCAATGATTATGCCTATGACTAGCCAAGATCAGTGGATGAAGATTAATTTACCTTCATTACTCCCTCCAAAATAGCACAAGCAGCTTGGTAGGCCTAAGAAGACAAGGAAACAAGCTTTTGATGAGCCTAAACAACCTGCTAATCCATATAAGCTTCCTAGGTATGGCATCCCTTTAAAGTGTGGCAATTATGGTGGAGAAGGGCATAATCGAATTAGTTGTAAGCAAGGTCTAAAATATCGATGATATCGGAAATATCGGTACTCCAAAAACACGGAAATTTCGATGGAAATATCAGGATATTATCAATATCGATAAAAATTGAATAAAAACCACGGAAATTGTAAGAAAAACTTGGAAATTTTTATTGAAACTTTGGAGAATGTTTATTTAGTCAATTATCTACTAGTTTATCACAAAAAATTAGAACGAAATGCATTGCATGATGAATTTAACTGATTTAAGTTGATTATACAACGAGCTGGCAAACACTGTGAGTGTAGAAAATATATAGTAATTAATGAGAAAAGATTAAACACACCATAATCATTTATATATAATGATTTACTACAATATTTTACACTTTATACATTGCATGGTAAGATACATGAGTGACTTAGTACCACATAGAGTTCATATGAGGTTCAAAGATTCATTCTCATGTGAAAATTTGATTCTTGCAAAAAGAATTCAAAACAAAACAGCATAAATATAAATATTTTAGCATATTATCACAAAAACATAATACATGAGTGACTTAGTATCACATAGAGTTCATATGAGGTTCAAAGATTCATTCTTGTGTGAAAATTTGATTCTTGCAAAAAGAATTCAAAACAAAACAGCATAAATATAAATATTTTAGCATATTATCACAAAAACATAAGTCATATGGTGGTTAAGGTGTTGGAGGAGTAAAATGGGAGGGGGTTCAAATCCCCTTTGTGTTTTTTTTCTCCTTGTTTTTCCCTATTTTTTTCCTATTTTTTTCCTTTACATCGACATTTTTGATATTTTAGCGATATTACTCCGATATTTTGACAAAATATTGCTGAAGAGTGAGCGAAATTATTGACATCGATATTTTTCGATATTATTGTTGATATTGTCGATATTTATACGATATGTACATGGATATGTTCCGAAATATCCGTGATTTGAAAAAACCAAAATATTATCAATATTTCGTGGATATTATCGATATTTCATACTATGGTTGTAAGGTATGTGTCATTATCCAAAATTGCTTTACATTTAAATCTATTTGATATGGTTTCTGACTTGATGACTTTGCTTATTAGGAACCTAGAAATCCCAACATAAAGCCTACTAGGAAGAGGAAAGTTGCCAAGGAAAAACTTCCATTAAGTGCCACGGTTTGAACTATGTATTCACCATTCAAATTTTCATATCATGCCTATCTAATTATTTTTTGTTTTAGGTAAGAAGGAGAGATGGTGGAGAGCAAGTAGCAGACAACAAAGTATGCAACCAAGGTAAAGGAAACAAGCAAGTGGTTCCCAAGGGCCTTCTCAATCCCAGGCATCTGAAGTAGCCCAGGCTTCTCAATCCCAACCATCTCAAGCATTATTATTTGCTTCTCAATCCCAACAATCTGAAGCAGCTTAGGTTTCTTAAACATGTGATTCATCTCAATCTGCCAAACTATCTCGAGTACAACAATGTAGGAGGAGGATGAAAGATTAACAGAGGAGCCGTTTTGTCAAAGATCATTTTTTTCATCCTTAGATGTGATGATGTTGAACTTTTGCAACCTATTTTTGAATTAGGATGAACTCTTTTTGAATTATGGTTTCATGGAAGAATGGTTTGAATGTTGTGGAATTATAGATTCTGCAATTGGTTAGTTTTGTAAGACTTTAATGGTTTGATTATGGTTGGAACTCTTTTTGAATTATGGTTTCATGGAAGAATGGTTTGAATGTTATGGAATTATAGATTCTGCAATTGGTTAGTTTTGT